AGAACAAATTATTATATCAAAAGAACACTTCGTTGAATAAACAGTCTTTATTCTTGGAATTTGCGTTAAAAATGATTTAATTTGATTTGTTTAGGAAGTGTTGTATTTAATTCAATAGAAACATTCAATCTAATCCACACTTATTTTTTACTTTATTAGAAAAAGTTATTGTATCAAAAGAACTTATACTTTTATATTAACAAAAGTAAATGCTATTAATTAATTGTAATTAAATTTTAATACTTTTTTTTAAACTGATTATTAGAAAAAAATTTCGTAACTTTTTTTTACAATTTTCGAAACTCTTGTGTTTATTTTATTGAAAATAAAATGTTCTTGGGATTGGAGTTAAAAAAATAATAATTTATTTAATTACATTTTTGTTTATAACAATTGTATTCAGTTAACTAGAAGGGTTTAATTTGTTATAAAATTATATTTTGTTTACCTATTCCACTCTTATTTTTAACTTTATTAGAAAAAGTTATTGTTTCAAAAGAACACTTCATTATATCAACATTTTTTTTATTATTATAATAACAAAACAAATATTAATTAATAAATCATAATTTAAACTGATTATTAGAAAATTCTTAATAACCGTTTTTACTATATTCGAATTTGTTGTAATAAAAACTGTTATTGGAAGTCCATAACGAAACTCGCGTAAAAATATGTATTTTATAGTTTTTTCATAAGAAATGTTTGTGTTTTTTTTTACCTAATTCACTTTTATTTTCAACTTCATTACAATAAGTTATTGTATCAAAAGAGCACTTAGTAATTAAATTTTTATATATTTTTTAATCTTTCATTACTTGCGAGACCTTTCGTAACATTGTTACTCGCGTGGCGTCTGAGAAACTGTGTTAAATATAATGTTAATAATTAATTTATATAAATATATAATCGATTAGTTTGAGGAAATCAAAATTAAAAGATATTAGCTTTTATAACAATATAAAAAATCATCATCACTATTAATGTTTGTTTCTGATTGATTGTCTTTATTTGAGTCCATTGCTAATTTTCGTAAAATCACTGCATCCAGTTTATTTTCTGGATCAAAAACTTTTATAATCTATGATTAATTTGAATTTCATTATATTTTTATTACTAAAACTTACTTTATTTCAAAAAAAAAAATGGTAAAGTAAAATATTATAAAGTCTCTACTCGCGTGGCGTCTGAAGGACTATGCCAATCCTTCAACGCATTACTCTGTCGTGTCCCAAGGATGGAATTCTGGACAAAGTGGAATATTGTCTGGTGTTGTAGTTATGGAGTCTCAATAGTTGGAAATTAAATAATTCAATTGGTTTTAAACAAGTTTATTATAATAATTGGAACTTTTGTTTTTTTTTTCTAAGAACACTTTGACTAAGACTATACTTATCCTCAAATGTTCTGCTGAGACTAATTCTAAATACTTATTCTACTTACAAAGTTGAGCATTCCCACGGGATTCGGCTTGAGTGGTTGAGCCAAGGTCAAAATCCTTTGGATATGTATATATGAAAAATATGATTTATTACGGTTATACGTGTAAAGATTATCATGTGCTTAAGGACTTGAATTTGGAGTAAAGGTATAGGAGTATCGATGGAATTGTTTATGAATTGGGGTCACGGTGGAGGTTCTTTTATGATTATGTATATGCTTATATAATAAGCCGACTAACAATAATAATTGTAATAACAATGGTTGGACACAACAACTCAAAAATGGCGCCTCACAAACGCCGCGCGAGTAACTCTATGTTAAACCGATTATTAGAAAATTTTTAGTAAGCGATTTTACTATATTTGCGACTCTTGCGGTTATCTTAATTCAAATTAATAAATAATTTATTAATTTTAATATATGTGATTAGTTAACTACAATAGAAACGTTCAATTTGTTAGTAAATTCCGTTTTTTTCTCTTAATCTTACATTGTTTACAGTCGCGTAGGTTTGAAGAAGGATTTGCAATAAAGCGACAGGAAGGAAAAGAAGGATTATCTAATATCTGGTATTAACAAATGTGTTGGAGTTATACGAGCAGACGGCGGAACCGGCCTCTGATGTTGGTTATGCTTTGTTGGCGCGTTGTGTAAATAATGAGGAAAAAGGATGAACCAATGGTTTCGCTATTTGCGCATTTCACGTATTTCCCTTATTTTTCATTGCCGTTCAATTAAAATAACGAACGTCAAATTAAATCATTTCATCCTAAAAATCCTTGAGAACGAGTGAAAATTTTACGAGCAAACTTTATGAAATAGGTAATAAAAATAGATATTTCCCAATGTAAATTTAATATATGTCCGCACGTCATTGGAAATAATAGAAAATGTAATTTAAAGCTATTAGTTTAAATATGTATATAATTAAGCGTTTTATGTTATTCGCGTTTATTTCTTTCGAAATTCTTCTTCAACTTAAATTTCAAAATTTATTTAAATTAATAATAATAATAATACACAAATTAACATATTTCTGTAAAGTTAGTTTTTTAAACTAATAAACTTAATCAAAATCTAATTAATAAGTAGTAAATTATCATAAAATAAGATTATGTTGAAATTGTAGCAAATCATACAAAGGTTTGAAATTTAATCAGAAAATAGAAAAAATAAATAAAGACAGAGAAAAATAGAGATCATTATATAACTGTTACAATATTAGAAACAAGCATTTATGAGATAACTTTGTTATTTTGTAAATATTTTTTTGAAATGCACTAAAATACTTTAAATAAGAAAATATTTTCTGGTTATTAATTAATTTATGAAAATGTATTGCCTCAAAATTTTGAAATTAATAAAAAAAATTCTATAGAATATTAATTAAAATTTATTTAATATTAACAAAAATATAGTGAATTACCACAAAATAAGTTTACAGTTTAATTGTAACAAATTTTTGAATAGTAAAAACGAATAATGTTTCGGGTTCGTCGTTTCATTGATAGTTAAAGTCTCTCGCGCATTTTTTGATTTCCACTATAAATTTGGATATTTTTGCATTTATATCAATAATATTTCTTTTAATTTCATAAATTAGTTTTTTTCAAACTTTGTTCTCTTTATTTTTTTTTTAATTAATAATTTTTAAATTAATTTCATAATTAATAGAAATTCTAGGACAGAAAGACCTATGGTTAATAGCCCTTTGTAGAAGGTGACTTTTTGTTTCATTATTATTGTATGGAAATGTTAAATTATGATTTCTTGTATTTTAGCAATTAATAATATTATTATTAGAAATTCTATTATCGGTTTGGTCCAAAATAGGTAAGTAATAATAACAATAAATAAGTAGTAAAATTTGAATTTACTTTAAAATTGTTAAATGATTTGGTTAAAGTAAATTATCTAAATATTAAAAGGTTATAAAAAATACAGATTAACATACACATTCCTTAGAAACCTAAGAAATATTCTCAATGACATTGACCCCTTTAGATAATTTATTTCCTTTTGTATGTGATATACCAAGGACTAATTTGCTATATTTACCAATAAATAAGTGACTTAATAGTTTTGTTTCCTAAAGTAAACTTGTATGTTTTTTAGATTTGTTGATGAAAAAGTTTTGTAAATGTCTCATTTTTTCTATATTAAATAAATTGATAAATTAAACAAAATTTTACATATTTTTCTTTGAGAATAAATTTATTAAATTTGTCGAAATTAATAAATTAATCATATTTTTGCATTTATTTTAATGATTTATAATAATTTCTGCTTTTTATCAAAATGATTTAATAAAGGTTGAAATATACATAATTAATTATACATAATTAACTAAATTTTTGTATTTTTAGAAATTCTTGCGCTTAAAAAAAAACAATAGTAAAATTGGAAAACTAAGTGATTTAATAATGGAAATTACTAATTCGGAAAAGTATTGTTGAGAGTTTGTAAAATTTTCGGGATTTTCTTATTAAGACGACATGCATCAAAATCACGCTTTGAAGTAGAATTTGTTTGAAAAACAAAAAATGTTTACCAAAATTTAATAAAATATTATAATTATTTTCTTCAAATAAATTTTGTATTAATTCAATACTAATAAAGCAAATTTGTGTATTCTTGCTTTTAATGTCAAAATATTGTGACTTACGAACTCTCGGAGTTACGAACAAAATTTTAAAAGATTAATTAACTGTCCAAACAAATGTTGATAATCTGTTTTGTTGCATTTATTTCTTTGTCGTTTTTTATTAAATAATTATGATGTCTACATTGAAAAGTGTTTGTAAGTAAGCATTTTGTTAATTTTAATCTTTTCTTACTGACTGAATAATTAGTCAGTAATGCTATAATTCAACATATATAAAAGTAAAAACCATGATAAAGTAAATGTTTAAAATTCCCCCGACTTACGAACAAATTCTACTTACGGACAATTCTTTGGAACGGAACTAGTTTGTAAGTTGGTTGATACCTGTATTTTAATTCATCGATTTAGTATTAATAATACGAGTATATTGAAAATTACACAAATATTTGCGTTTATTTATTTTGGATTAAATTTGATACAATTAACTTCATTTTTTTTAATAGCAAAAAAAACATTTATATAAATAATTTAATAAAGTTTTAAATATATAAAATATTATATTTACTTCCTTGCAAAAGTTTTAAATGTTTATAAAATTTCTATTAATTCAATATATAATTTTTATATTCTTAAATTAGTATATTTGATTACACTTAGAAAAAACAATGGTAAAATTGGAAAACTGAGTGATTTGATAATGATCGGAACTGTTTCTATTTTCTTTATAGGAAGTGTATGGAAATTACTAATCCGGAAAATCATTGCTGAGAACTTGTAGGATTTCCGGACGTCGCGACGTCGAGCGTCTCGAGACCGACTAGCGATCCGACATCGCCGTTCGCTAGAGAAAGCTTTTCACCTTGCATAATCAATGTTTTTATCTTGTGTAACTCGTGCGCGAATGAAAGGTTAAAATAATACCGCTGCCGCGGTTTCGTGTTATTCCGAGTTGGGCGCGCGTCGCGGACGTGTGTCTCCTCTACTAAACAACATTTCTGTGCTTCAATCGGTGTTCCTTGTGCGAGTAGGTCAGTTATCCTTACATCTAACCATCAAAGTTGATCGAATCATCAAAAAATTAAGATAAATAAGTTGTGTGTTTTCAACAAAACAAAAATCGGTGCTTACAAAAGAGTGTTTTATGAAAAAAAAAATCGGTGATTTATTAAATTAGCTAAAGCATTTTGTCTTATGAAGACGACATCTAAACGGAAGCTACAAAAATCAGTTTGTATACGTTTGAATTACAATTTTTTCTTTTACTTCTAATAATAATAACGCTTCATAGCGGAATTGCTATTACTTTCCCATTCGGTTAAAACGGGAATGGATTTTGTAACAAATTGTTTCCTTATTCGGACGAGGAATTCTATCATTTATAAATTCGAACACTTCACTCACAATAAATAAATAGTAATTGTAATTCTAACAGTAATTGCAAAGCGCATTTTTTTTTAATTGCAATCTAAATCAGGTGTGTTTCGACACGACGATCGCATCCTTGTGTCTGTTTCTATATATCGATGCCAATTTAACTGTTGAAAAGCCTTCCAAACAACAATAGATGGTGGCGTTGAGCAACCAATCATTAATATATGCAAGAGATTTTAGTTAATTATTTTTTTTTTAATTGTCGTTTCTTGATTAACTTTAATCTTAACAACATGACATTTGCATAACGAATAATCTTCTTTATTATTATTTTTTCTTTTGTAATCTTTACTGTAAAACTTCTTGGAAATTCTGGAGAAATTCATTGAAAGTACGGTACGAAATGTTATCAGAAAAGTACAGTAATATCTCGCATATTGCAAGTAATTAGTTCTATAAATATTCCGGACTGTTTGAGACCGGACTAATCGAGGAACTAATTATAATATAAGCAAATAAACCACGCAATAACAGATTTTATTGTATGAATGGAAAAAACATGTTTAAACACTTTTGTTGATTAATTTTAATTTTAACAACATGACAATTGCATAACTAATAATCTTTTTTAATTATTATTGTTTTTCTTTTGTAATCTTTACTGTAAAACTTCTTGGAAATTCTGCAAAACTTTATTGGAAATCCGATGTTGTGGGTAAACATTTCTGTTTGAAACCAGACTAATCCAAAAAAATATATAAACTTACAATTTTGTGTACTGTTTAGAATTTATTGTGCTCAATTAAAATGTAGTTTGTTTTGAAATTATCAAACCGGACTATAGTGAATCCGGACTGATAAAAGCCGCACTATGCGAGGTCATTATCTATACTTACTTTACTCAATGATTGCAAGCAAATGTTGGGACTATTCATTAATTAAGATCTTCTATGTGCTAATTATATAGAAGATCTTAATTAAAATATAACATTGGTTTTATTAATACATAAATTAATAATAATAAAAGTAATTTATTGCAATTAATTATGAATTTACATACATTGAAATTATTATGTATGGGTATGAGAAATTGATAATGTATTATACATTGAAGTGAATTTGTTGTTATTATTAACTAATAGGTAAAAAATCAATTATTTCTATATAATAATATTAATTATTATTATAAAATCACAAACGTAATTAAATAATCAGTACCAAACTCGTCCTAATTCTATATATTTTCATTTTTCTTTAAGTTAATAACATCAGTTTACGTGATTGAATTTAATTATAAAAGTGATACAAATATTGTAAGTTTATCTATATTTTTTAATAATTATTTGAAATTTAATACACAGCAATAATTTTCTTAATAATAATAATAATGGTAAACTTTTTGTAAAGAAAATTAAATAAGAGATATTGACATTTTTTTGGTAAAAAATGTATATAAGTTAACTTTACTGTTATTATTAGCAAATAAGTGAATCAATTATGTAATACACCTCACTCAATAAATTCATCAATAACTTTTGGGCAATATTTAACATAGTCTCATACCAACGTTTCTCTAACATTTCGATACTTTTCTTGTAGTATGATTTATCTTTGGCCTCAAAATACGGCTTTCATCCTTTGCTGTCCACTCAGCTAACGACCGATTTGACTCTTGAGTACATGAAAAAATCCTTTTTATTTCGTTTGAACAGCTCTAAATAGCGATCGGAATCATCAAATCGTTGTTGTTTTTGATCCACTTTGAGCTTGAACGCGATACCCATTTCGAAAAAAGCTTTTTCATGATCAAATGTTCGTGGAAAATGCTGAATACACGCCTTCTGATAACTTCAGGGTATCAGCTATATCCCGCGACATCAATTTACGATCGGCCAAAACCATTTAATAACACTTATCAAGCCATTGATTTGCTTCAACGGTATTTCTTTTTCCCATCAAAATGTAATGTTTTAACAACACATCAACATTCAGATTTTTTCATTGTTTTGGAAATTACAAAAGTAGCGTCACTAAAACCACTCTAACTTGTGAACTAAACGTCAGATTGTCATGAAATTTTGTCAGGTGTCGTCTGAAGGTTGGTACTTTCTAAACATCATATGGATTTTTTGATAGAGGCTCCATGTGTATGTCATCCTACGAACTTATTGAGTGAGATGTTATATATAGACTTATTTCTGCTAAGGTACAAGCATTAAATAAATATTTGTAGAACAGATATTGACGACAATAACAAAAATATTGAAGATAACTAACAAAATTGTTCAATTTAATAACACGATTCTGCGAATAAACATATGCATTGAAATAAACATTGAAAGAGAAATATTTGCACAAAAATATTGTGATTAAATCGAAAAATAATCAAGTGTATACATATTTTTTATATGTAGTTTAATTCAACGTGTTAGTATTAACAATATGAAAATACTGGAGATAACATAAAAAAAAATAAGTTTGTTTATTATCGATTAAATTATATGTAATAAATTTAATTTAAATATCGAAAATTAATAATATTTACAAGAAAAGTCATAAATAAATTAATAAAAAATTAAAAGGTATTTAAATACCGGAACTAGTTCGTAAGTCGCGGGTTACGAACTATTTCCATTCCAAAGGGCTTTTCGTAAGTAGAATTTGTTCGTAAATTATGGTTTTTAATTTTATATCTGTTAAATTTTGTATTACTGACTGCATATATTTGAAAAAATAGATTAAAATAAACAAAATACTTACTTACAAATACTTTTCAATGTAAACATCACAATTATTTAATAAAAAACGACAAAAGAAACAAATTCAACAAAACATATAGTACATCTTTCAAAAATATTATATTTTAATAAAGACATTATAATTTTTGTTTGGACAGTTAATTTTTTGTAATAAGTTAGAGCTTTTAGAATAATAAAATAAGAAATAATTAACTGTTATAAAGGGCTATTTTGTCCATTAAATAGCATCAAATCAATTAGGTATACTTTTATCATTTTATATGTAAATAAAAGTAAGTGTAGGTGGTTAATTTAAAATTAATTATGTATAGGATTCTGATAACTTGAAATAACGTAGATCAGGGGTCGCTAACCTTTTTGGGAATGAAGAGCCAGTTTGAAGGTTATATCTGTTAAATAAATGTTTAGAGAGCCAATAGATCGTGGACAGACCGATTTAACCAAATATTTTTTAATAACGTAAAGAACCACAATTAATCCTTTTAAGAGCCGCGATCTCTCACGTAGGTGATTCAAATTATGTATAAATTGTAATAACATAGACCATTCAAATTATATACAGGATTGCAATAACATAGGTGATTCAAATTATATACATAATTCTGATAAGTTGTAATAATGTTATAAGTGATTCCGAGATATGGAGAAAATTATCGTTGTCTTCTGGGAATTCCTGAATAAGTTTCGGGGGAAGTCCGGTATGAAATGTAATCATAAAAGTACTTAATTCAAAATACTTTCCTAGATGATTGTGTGTAACTATCTTCGTTCGAAATGTATAAGTTAAAAATATGCGATAATAACAACAAAATATATAAACAATACTAAACTCGGGTCAATATACTAATTACATTTGTTGTTGTTTACTTGAAGACAATTGTATAATGAAATTACATTTACTTATTATCACTGAATATTTTAATGAATTGTCACATAATATATAAATATATTTATTAATTTAATAATGTATATGTTAAATATGAGATAAAATTAAATTGTGTATAATGTAATTAGTACACATATTTTATCATTGAATATATGAATTTATTATAGTTTACATAATATATTAATAGAATTATTAATTTAATAGCGAATATGTTAAAAAAAAGGTTATAATAATAACAAAATAAAAAATAATATTAATGTCGGGTCAATATACCAATAAATTTCTTGTTGGATGTTGATTCTTATGAATTCATTACAATTTATTACCAAAAAAAATGAGTAAAAATTTCATTAATTTTCATACAAATATATTTGTTTACATCCAATAATAATATAGTTGGAGTGTACTATACTACTATACTATACAGCAATAGTGCGGCTTCGATCAGTGCGGTTTCACTAGTACAGTTTAAATTTCAAAACAAACTAAATCTTAAATGACAAAATCAAAAAGTATTATATTTAATACATAAAAACGGTTTTCAAGTTCTCGATTAGTGCGGTCTCAAACAGTGCGGGATATTAGCAGAATCTATTAACCGTACTACGCTAGATATTCCTGCGGATTCATTATAGTACGGTTTGAATTTCAAAACACAGTAAATTTTAATTGTCAGAATCAAAATAAAAAAATGTATTCTTGTTACATAAACGTAGTTTTAAGTCCTCGATTAGTGCGGTCTCAAACAGTGCGGGATATTAGCAGAATCTATTAACCGTACTACGCGAGGTGTTCCTGCGGTTTCACTATAGTACGGTTTGAATTTCAAAGCAAACTAAATCTTAATTGTCAAAATCAAAATAATTTATAGATTTTAATAATAAATATTAAACTAAAGAACATTTTTATAAAATCTCAATTTTTTGTAATCTTCATACAATTAATTAGTTGCTGTTAATTTGTTTTTCTGAGATTTTCATTGCATTTTCGTACAAAAAAAAAAATAGTAAAAAAATATAATTACAACAGTGGATGCATTCAGCACACATAAATATACTACATGTAAATAAATACCTGAGGCTAACGAATTGATGCCCCACATTGGTATTGCTTTCTTTTTTAGCAGGCGAGGTCGGAGCGCGCAATAAACTAACCAAACGACATCATTACATTGTAATAATGATAAAGAAGAAGAAAGAAAGAAAAAAATAAGTAAAAAAAGACCGGCAACAATAATATTAACAATCCCATAACCGGCGATTTAATTGAAACCCATTGTTGTTAACGCTTAATATGGAAAGAAAAATAAGTAATGGAGACGCGAATGAAAGTGCATTCAACAAGGATCACGCCCAACTTACGTTCATTTTAAAGAATATCATAATATTAATTCATATATTTCTTTTTTTATATTTAATTTTATTTACACAATTTTGTTTAATTTATGCCTTTTTGATTATTTTTGATCAAAAATTAGCTAAAAAAATAAAATATTTATAATGTATTAATCAGTAGCATTCAAGAAATGTTTTAAGTATATACAACGCGCTAAAAAAGGTTGGGACACCTTTTTTATATTACGCTATTCTCATTTAATACGACAAGATGCGGGAATTTCAAACATGTTATTTAAACTATTCGTGTTATACGAAGAATATACTCGTATAACACGATTCAAATAACGCAATTTCTTACAACGCGTATTAACCGAATCATACGGAAATTTACTGTATGCATTAATTGTGAGGTTTCTTCATACAACGCGTTAAAAATATTGGGACACCTTTTTTATATAAGGCGATTCTTATTCAAAACGACAAAATGTCGAACATGTTATTTAAATTATTCGTGTTATACGAGGAACATACTCGTATAACAGTATATTGGGACACCTTTTTTATATAACGCGATTCTCATTCAATACGACAAAATGCGAGAATTCCAAACATGTTATTTAAATTATTCGTGTTATACGAGGAACACACTCGTATAACAGTATATTGGGACACCTTTTTATATAACGCGGCTCTCATTCTATACGACAAAATGTGGGAATTTCAAACATGTTATTTAAATTATCCGTGTTATACGAGGAGCATATACTTATAACACAATTCAAATAGCGCGAGTTATAACAGCGCGTATTAACTGAATCATACAGAAATTTACTGTATGCATTAATTATGAGGTTTCTTCGTACAACGCGTTAAAAATATTGGGACACCTTTTTTATATAACGCGATTCTCATTCAATGCGACAAAATGCGGGAATTTCAAACATGTTATTTAATTTGTCCGTGTTTTACGAGGAACATATACGTATAAAACGATTCAAATAACGCGAGTTTTTACAACGCGTATTAACCGAATCGTACGGAAATCTGCTGTAATCATTAATTCTGAGGTTTCTTCGTACAACGCGTTAAAAATATTGGTACACCTTTTTTTATATAACGCGATTCTCATTCAATACGACAAAATGCGGGAATTTCAAACATGTTATTTAAATTATCGGTATTATACGAGGAACATACTCGTATAACACGTACACGAATCAAATAATGCGTAATGTATTAACCGAATCATAATTAATGCATACAGTTTTCTCGTATGTATTAATTATGATGTTTTTGTACTAAATATCAATTTAAAATTAAGCAACTGTTTGACTTACGACCACATCTACTTACGACAAAAAAATACATTCCATATTCACGCATAATAAATTTCATAAAAAGAATGATAATTTTTTACAGTTTTCGTTAATCATATTCCTTAATTGTAGATAACAATTAAAAAATAAGAATTAAAAGCTATTTTTTTATGTACGTAGAAATACACATTTTTTGTGTGAAATTTGACTTACAATCATTTCAACTTGGGACTGAACTTGGGAATCCGTATTTCGTAAGTCGAGAAATGACTACAATTATTTACACATTTTTTATTATGTAAGTGTCTTTGCACAATTCTTCTATTTATTTCCAAAAAAATTAAAATAATTATAATATGCCAATCAGTATCATTCAAGCAATGTTTTACATATACATTATTTAGGAGGTTTCTCTTCTAAACATCAATTTAACAAACAGGCTATTCATGATACAGTAACTGTTCGACTTACGAACACTTCTAACTTACGACAAAACTATTTCATATTCGTGAATAATAAACTTCATATAAATATCATTTTCGTTAAATATTTTCCTAAATTACTCATTTGTAATTACCAATTAAGGAAAAAAAAGAATTAAGAGTTATTCATTTTTATTTACGCATAAGTACATAATTTTTGTTGCGAAAACTTACGTTTGAAGTTTCGAAACATGAATTTGTCCATTTGTCGTAAGTCCAGAAGCGACTATACAAGAGTGACATTATTTTTGTCACGTATTAAAATGAATGCGAATATCTGAATGGAACAAAATCAAGGTTTGTTTTTTATTTAAATAGATGAAAAATTTGGAAAGTCGAACGAAATGACAAATTGAATTTTAGCGTAAATCCCGTATTCAGGTTGTATTTATTTACAGTTTCTTGTATTGTTTCTCTTTTTTGTCGTTTCAAATTGTGAAGAAGAAAAAAAAGTATGCCAAATGCTTCAAAATCAATGTGCAAAGAAGAATAAAACGTCATGTTTCTTTTTACTGTAATCACCGCTTCAATCGGGTCACCGAGAAGCAACGGGTCACAAGCACAAAACACACTCTGCTGCATCGATTTGCTAAACATTACTACTTTAGATTACGTCATAAGGATTTACGAAACGTGAAGAAATTCTGTGCGTCTTGAAAGCGGTTTATTCCCGGGAAATCCTGGAGATAACGCACGTACGTAATCCGCGGTTCAACAGTAATCAATGAATAATAAATAAAGAGATCCGATTTGTAATACTAATGATAAGCTACGCAATTTATTTTTTATGTTTGTTTGGATCGAAATCATTGTATTTGTTAATTTGATAAAAGCGAATAGGAAATGTTTATGTGATAATTTTGCTTTGTGCTGTAAACGTTGCGTGCAATGATTTAAAATTATTACTCACATTTTGCATCGCAGTTGCTTCCTTAATTAGGAAACGGTTGATGCGGAACCGTGCACATAATCATAATTTCGATTTCCCAGATTGCACAAACCAGGAGAAATTATTTTCCAATTTATCAGACATTAATTATTACCGCTCTTGCCTATAAAACTGCATTCGCATTACGCAATTGGATTGAACTATACAGTCTATTTATACTATACTTTATCTATACTTTAGTTGAATAAACAAACGCATGTTATTATTAAAGTTGTTATATTTTCAGGTCTGCTGCAGTAAACCATGAAGCTTAGTGTTTAACTGAAGACATTTGGACAGTACTTTAAGAGCAAGTGAATATAGAAGAATCGAAGAGGAAACGTGAGATGAACAAGATTGAAGATTAGTGTTTTTTTTTGGTTCTACGTGCATTTATAAAACTTTGAAAGAAACATGATGATTGCAATTTGTGTCTTCGTCCTGGCTGCATCCCAAGCAGCAAATGCCGGAATTCTGGATTCTCTAGGATGGGCGAGGAGCGATAAGATGGAAGTCACAATTCCTTGGCTTCCATGTAAGTGAAAACTAAATATATAAATACCCTTCGTTTTACACGGTACATTCTTTGCACGCTTTTGCTTTTATACGGTTTAAAAAATAAATAATAGGGTTACTGAATCGGGAATACCCGGGAATTTTGGAAAAATATATAGGGAATTATTGTTCAAGACTCGATAAATTTCGAAATTTTTATCAATTTTGAAAGTGGTAATGATAACTCTGAAACATTTTCCAGCAATAGTTTGAACTTAATGCAGGGATCAATATAAAGTACTGAAAATATTTAACATTTTTGAAGGAACTGAAGAAAAACAGCAATTTAGATCTTTTGTATAATTGACTTCTGTTCATAAAACTAACAACTACTGAATATGAAAGGTCATTTTCCTTAGCAGGAAATTTTGCTAGAAAATTATGAAATAGACTTACAGACGAGTCTTTAAATGCACTCACGTATTTAAATGTACTCGAGTCCCGAGAATTCCCGGGAATACCTTAAACATTTGTCTTGTGTCCCGAGAACTAAAAAAAATGTTGAGACTAAGCAACACTAACAGTTTGGTTTGACGAAATTAAACGTTTGTTTTGCATACTTTTTGATTTACATTCAAAAAGTTATAATTTCGATTTACAAGTTTTTCTCAGGAGCGTATCTAGCGTGTAAATCGAGAGATAGGTGTATTTAATTTGTTGTTTAAATAGCTTTCGGTGAGAGAAAATGCATGCAGCAAAAAACTTATTAATCACTAGAGAGGCCAATTTAAATATATTAACATTTTCCAATACGGTATTAGAAATGAAATATGGGTAAATTAAAAGCGGCGCGACTTTCTTTACATGGAGCTGTACTAATTTAAAGCAATTAAATACTAGATTTTACGACAAACTTATTTGAAATTTATACACAAAACGACAGATTTTTGACGAAGAAAATGATAGTAGAAACATGTGATTTCTAAATCTTGTGTAATATTTGAATATTTATTATATCCCATTCATTTTTTTTTTCATTCAAATTTAGTAAAATTCTAGTGATTTTTGTGATTAAGTTCGTGGGATTTGATCTTAAAAAATGACAAGAATTCCCAGAACTAAAGACAATAATGCGTATCTGATTATATTATGGATTGTTGCGTTATAACTATGGTAATTCAATTAAGATGATTTGGCTGTGTATAAATCAATGGAACAAATAGAGTTGTTGTAAAAGTGGCAGTTAGGAATGTAAAGTAAAAGTGTTTACGTATGATTGCTTTAGTGTTAGCTCGGAGCTAGAGTGTCCGTTCGCATAAGGAGGAAGGAAAAACGGATGCTTGTTTCTTTTTTCTTTTCCTGACTTTTCGAAGCGAAATTACCTAAATGATGCATTTAATTTTCTCTTCTGGAAGTCGAGAACGAGTCACGCTGCTACGACGAGCTCGGGTGTCTCAACATCACGAGGAGCTGGTACCATCTAATACACAGGCCTTTCAACGTCTTTCCCTTGCCGAGATCGGTGATCAACACCAGGTTTATACTCTACACCAGACTGAATCCCACCGAGGTTAGTCCAACAAATTAACCTTTCCAAAAGAGAATGCTGTTATTAAGAAAAATCAAAATCTTATTATCTGATAGAAGAAAGTAAATTAGTAAATTTCTTAATTTCAGGGTCAAATACTTCGTCCGCAAGACGAGAAGACCATCAAGAAGTCCAAGTTTGATCCAAAGAAGAAGTCCAAGTTCATAATACACGGCTTCATAGATACGCCTCTTTCGAATTGGGTAAGTGTATTTTTTTTTATTGTTGGCATTCGACGGACAAAAGTGGGTCTTTGCGTTTCACGCGTTATATAATAAACGCGTTGCGAAAGGCCCGAATGGTATGCGTATTTGCGCTTCGAATTATCGTTTATTTTTTAAAAAATATACCATTCGCTCCAGTTCATAATAAAAATGTGCCCGTTTTGTGGCAGTTGCGTATTAATTCTCTGCATCTCGGTTAATTGCATTTTCTCGTCTGGTTCAACATCTTGCGAAAGATTATGTCAAAACGAGAATCGACTTGGTTAACCCGATTTCGCAATTTCGTGACCTAGGCTAACGCTGTTTCGCATAGCTTCCGGTGGTTATCTTTTGTGGTGGTCTAGTCTAATGCGATTTCACTATCTGCCAGATGACTTTGAACATTTTTGCGATACTTCTTCGTAATGGGCTGTTCACGATGCTCGACCGAAGGAAGCATAATAAATATGATACATTCACTTCTCCGTATTCTTTGTTAGATAACAGATTTTTGTGTATACATCTGCAGCGCAACTTTCTTTACGTTTTCCAATAGCATTCGACTATCGCTTTGTTTGTTACAATACCCTTCCACTGTACAGACTAAAGAATTATGAATTATTATGACATTAGAAACTGTAGCAAGTTTGCTTTGAAACAACAAAATACACAAACTTTAATTCAAGTAAAATCAATGTTCTTATTACTTTAGTAATAAATTTATTAAAAATTGAAAAGTTAACATGAAATTAGTTTAATTAATCATTATTTATATATATAACTTGAAAAATTGAATTTCATTTATTTGTTGAAAATATTTTATCAACAGGAAAATGAAATATAAATTTATTACATGCAAAAGAAAATTCAAATTTAAATAATATTGCTTAAATATTTTTTTTTAATAATTTCTAAACTTTAAAGAACTAAACTACATTTATTTGTTGAAGTCAAAGGACGAAATATAAAATTGTTACCTGCATTAAAAAATTGAAATATAAATTTAATTAATAATTTTTGATAATGTGTAAACAATTTCATTTATTTATCATCATTTATTTATCATTTTATCAACAGAATATTTTATATACAGGAAGAAATATATAATAATATACAAGAAATATACAATATCTACAATTTTGAAATGGAAACTTTAAATTAGTTTATTTAATATTTCTTTAAATAATTTCTAAAGTTTAAAGATGTAAACCCCTTTTATTTGTTGAAATAATTTTTAGAAGAGGCAATATTATATACTAGAAGAAATATAAAAGTGTTACTTCCATTAAAATTTTGAAAAAAGGACTTGAAATTTGTTTGATTCATATTTTTTTAAATTATAGATAAAGCTTAAATAACGAAACTTTATTTACTTACTGGGGGCGTTTTATCAACAGCAAATGTTATATACAGGATGAAATAAAAAATTCTTACTTACATACAAATTTTGAAATAAAAAATTTAAATTAGTTTAATTCATATTTAAAATTATAGATAAAACTTATGTAACTAAACTTTATTTATTTATTAAGGACATTTTATATACTAGAAGAAATATAAAATAATTACCTTAAAATTTTGAAAAAAAAACAATTTGAGTTTATTGTCTGAATTTGCTAAAAAAAATACCATTTTCTTATCTATATTAACATTTTTAAATTAGTTTAAGTAATATTTCTTGTAATTATATCTAAAGCTTCAAAAACAAAACTACATTTATTGATAAAGCTAAACTAAATTTTATTTACTTATTGGGCAATTGTATCAACAGATTTAATACATTTAAATTAAAAAAAACAACTTCAAATATTTACTGAAATTACTAGAGGAAAGTCAAAATTGTAATCTGTATTAATATTTTGAAATTAGTTTTAGTAATATTTTTTGAATTGTGTCTAGAACTTAATGAACTAAATTAAATTTATTTATTGAAGACATTGGAATAAATATATATAAAATTGTTACCTGAAATAAAAAAAATGATTATTAATTGGGTATAAAGTTTAAAGAGAACTAAACTACATTTATTTGTAGAAGTCAATGGACGAAATATAAAATTATTACCTGCATAAAAAAAATTGAAATATAAATTTTAAATTTAATTAATAATTTTTGATAATGTGTATATACCTTGAAGAAGAAAATTTCATTTATTTATTGAAGTCATTTTATCAACAGAAAATGTTGTATACAGGAAGAAATATAATTTTTTTACCTACATACAAATTTTGAAATAAAAACTTTAAATTAGTTTAATTCATATTTTTTTATACTATAGATAAAACTTATATAACTAAACTTTATTTACTTACTACGGACATTTTATATACTAGAAGAAATATAAAATAATTACATACATTAAAATTTGAAAAAAAAACAACTGAGATTATTGACTGAATTTGCTAAAAAAAAATACCATTTTTTTTATCTAAATTAATATTTTGAAATTAGTTTAAGTAATATTTAATGAAATTGTATCTAAAGCTTCAAAAACAAAACTACATCTATTCATTAAAGCCAACAGATTTTTATTATATACAGGAATAAATATAAAATTATTTACTACCTTTATTGATAAAACTTAAATAACTAAATTTTATTAGTTTAGAACTTAATGAACTAAACTAAATTTATTTGTTGAAGACATTGGAATAAATATATATAAAATTGATACCTGAAATAAAAAAGTTGATTATTAATTGTGTATAAATTTTAAACAATGAAATTGTTATGTACTAGAAAAAAATATCACTGTTAATATTAAAACAGAAAAAAAAGCTTCTACAAGATAAATAAACAAATTTGCTTTATGTTTTCTTAGTACTAAATTTTATACTTTTATATTTTATAGATGTATTACAAAATATACATGCGAAGGTTATTGTATCAACAGAAAATGTTATGTTATAAAAAATAAAAACAACATTTTTACAAGAAATGAAGATGTCGCCCTTCGCTTTCGTCCTTGTATAATGTAGTTGGACAAGGGATTTGGAAGATCGAAACATCTATTTGTAAAATTAAAACTAACTCAATGCCATTCATTCAATGTCTAGATACATACGCAACGACAAATACAATGTTAATGAACGTAGTCTGTTTTTGGGATTTCAGAGGTCAACAGTCTGCATGTTGATGTACCACTATAATAAACACAATGTTATTCCATTTCAATCATTGCGTGCTGCAAATTGCTTTTATACAATGAAATGAATGAAAAGAAATAAACATATACAAATAAAAAATGTTCAAATTTTTTTATTGTTAGAAAAATTATATATTTTCATTAAATGATTGCTTTTTATATTTTTAATTATTAATGTATTTTTCTATTTTTTGGAAGATTAACAACCAAATGATGTTAATTTATTATTTGAATTTTAATGAACTTTATTTGTAATTTATTGCTTGTAAATTTTGCGATTTATCTAATAAATTCTCTATTTGCAAAACAGAATTTCAAAATGAAATAAATATAAAAAAAAATACAATTTGTGTATAATTAATATCATTATATTAAAATGTACATTGTTTCATGTTATTAATATTAATATGTGCGTTTAATTGATACAACTACATCAAGGTTGTTGTTTGTTCTACGTCTTGTAAAATTGATTAAATTTTTAATAAATGTATCATGGTTAATGTAGTTTTTTTATGAATCTTATAAATAGGTTGGAGATATGAGAGATGAGCTGATCAAAGCTGACGATATGAATATTTTCGTGGTGGATTGGGCCGGAGGAAGTTTACCACTCTACACTCAAGCCACAGCCAATACACGATTGGTGGGTTTGGAGCTTGGATACTTCATTAATTACTTGATTGTAAGGACTTTTTTCAAAATAAATCAATGAAAGTGTTTGTTTATTGAATGAGTTGTATTTGTCACAGAAAAATTACAACGTGGAAGCGTCAGATGTTCATATTATTGGACATTCTTTAGGAGCTCACACCGCTGGATACGCAGGAGCTTTGGTACCGGGATTAGGAAGAATAACAGGATTGGATCCAGCCGAACCCTACTTTCAAGTAAGTCTTATTAATCACTGATCTTTTAATACTAATTCATGATACTTAACAAGATATTCCATTCAGTGGCTTGTCTCTCCTATAAAAATATTATTCGGGCTCCTCAGACAATTTTTATGGCACCAAGCAATTTTTTATTTGAGGCCCCCTTGATTTAAAATACAGAAAATTATAGAGCCCTAAAGAACAGTTACAAATATTTACAGCGAAGTGGAAAGTTCGTTCTTGGAGGACCACATTAAGAAAGCCCTCTAAACAACACTTATTTTTACTATGTGAGGGTTTTAAACATCACTTACTTTTACTACTTGAGGATCCTAAACATCAGTTACTTTTACTACTTGAGGGCCCGAAGCACCACTTAGTTTTAATACTTGAGGTCCCTAAACACCACTAAATTTTACTACTTGAGGGCCCGAAATACTACTTAGTTTTACTACTTGAGGACCCTAAACATCACTTACTTTTACTATTTGGGGCCCGAAATACCACTTAGTTTTACTACTTGAGGACCCTAAACACCACTTACATTTACTACTTGAGGGCCCGAAACACCAATTAGTTTTAATACTCGAGGTCCCTAAACACCACTGACTTTTACTACTTGAGGGCCCTAAATACCACTTAGTTATACTACTTGAGGGCCCGAAACACCACTTACTTTTACTATTTGAGGGCCCGAAACACCACTTTGTTTTACTACTTGAGGACCCTAAACACCACTTACATTTACTACTTGAGGGCCCGAAACACCAATTAGTTTTAATACTCGAGGTCCCTAAGCACCACTGACTTTTACTACTTGAGGGCCCGAAACACCATTTACTTTTACTACTTAGTTTTAATACTCGAGGTCCCTAAACACCACTAAATTTTACTACTTGAGGGTCCTAAACAATTTTGTCACTGATTCAAGCAAAGATTAAGAAGACTTGATTGACAACTAGTGCTAAATAGCCAGTTAAGATAACATAACTATTGAAAAATCAAAAAATTTAAAGTTTAGGGATCTTAATTACTTAATTAATATTATCTTTGAAACTTATTACAGAATATGCCGGCTCACGTGAGATTGGATCCCACAGATGCGGAACTTGTAGACGTTATACACACGGATGGAAAAGGCATTTTCTTCCTCGGTGAGTTTTATTCATTCTAATAATTCTTGTTTGTATGTTAACAATCGCTGATAGTGAGAAAAGCTAGAGCGATTTGCACGCCTCTCACTTGATATCTTAACTTTACATTAATTATTATGCATAGAAAGAGAAACACTTTTTGATTTCATTAAATTCAATACGTCTAATATTCATTATAAATGTAAAAACTGAATGTTGTAATCCCATCACAAACCGGCGGATATTACATTCAATTTAAGCCGCGATTCGAATTGAAATAAATTAGAACATGGAATTGCTGTGATCAGACTAGCAATGTCTCTGACAATAGATATTGGCAAAGAAAGAGAAACATTTTTTGATCTCATTAAATTCAATGCGTTTAAGATTCATTATAAATGTATAAACTGAATGTTGTAATCCCATCATAAACTGTGGATCTTACATTCGATTGATGTTGAAGTTGCTCAAGATCTATACAACATCATTTGAAGCCGCGATTGAAATAAATTAGAACATGAAGTTGCTGTGATCGGACTAGCAATGTCTCTGGCAATAGATATTTGCATATTTACCACATAGGTAACGGGCTGAGGTCATCATCAGTTTACATAGCTTTTCAATTAATTGATTGATATATTAATATTAATCGTAGAGAAAATTCGTTTTCTTTCTTGTTTTTCATTTCTACGTAAAATTTCTAATTTTAATCTAATGAAAAAATCATTAATATATTGGCAATTAAAATTTATACAGGGAAAATGCAGATTTCTAATTTAAATGTATTTTTTTGAATCAGACTCAGTTAATTAATTTTACTTTTAAATTTAATTCATAATTTTAAAATTTTATATTTAATATTTGATCTTTAAATCTTATTAAAAATTAAATTAAACGTGAAAATAATTAGCAGAATGACAATAAAATTATATAAACTAATAATTTTATTGTCTTCATATTCTGCTAATTAACTTGATTTAATTATTACATTTCAATTAAACTTTATGCTGTATATTTGAACAATGCTGAGATATGAAGTAAAAATGCTTTTTAAGTCTGTGGAAAGTAATAATTAGTAGAATGTCTTAATCTTTAGATCTAAAATCTTCTTACACATTCTTCACGTGTTTGTGTTTCTTCGGATCTTTAATTGTAAGAGCAAACAAAACCTTGAACTTGATTCATGATGTGCACGTTTGTTTATTTATATCTGTTTATTTCACCTCTTCGTCTGCGAGGGAAAAAAGGGGTCAACGTTCCATATGTGTGACGGAGACTTTCTCATTTTCTTCTTCACGTCACATCACCAACAGGCAAATCGATCACCAACTAATAAATATTACTCTCTGGCTGGCGGGCCTACCTATTAGCATTCTCACATAACTCAATGTACCCAATGTCAGTGTCAGAGGCCGAGCGTTGTGTAGAAGCATCAGTAAATCTTTCGATTTTTTTTCTGCAAACTGCAGCGACAACAAATTAGATGTAATTGTCGTACACTTTCACGAGGCTATGGCGAAGTTTCGTTCGCAAAACGGACTTAATTACACGGCAATTTGATAGCGCGGAATAATTAATAGTAATGTATGCTTGTCCACTTTTATTTTCGCAGGATACGGCATGTCGCAACCGTGCGGACATTTGGATTTCTATCCTAACAATGGAAAAGAACAGCCTGGATGCGATATCACCCAGACGCCTTTGGTTCCCCTCACCTTAATCAGGTATTCAATTTTTCAACTGAGATTTGTATGTGGTTACTATTGATTTACGAATTTTAAGGGAAGGATTGGAGGAAGCATCAAGAGTGTTGGTAGCATGCAATCACGTGAGGGCCATCAAGCTGTTCATAGAGAGCATAAACGGACAGTGTCCGTACTTGGGTGAGTTCGAAAATACTTCCGTTTTCGTATAAATTTATTGTTACGCAACACTTCCATTCGCAGCTCACCAATGTCCCAGTTACCAGCACTTCGTTTCCGGAAAGTGCTTCAAATGCAAACCTGGTTCCACGGATTGCGCCTTGATGGGTTACCATGCGGATCTCAGTCCTGGATTAGAGAACGAGATTTCGCCGAGACTTCAGGACAACGTAGGCAATAAGTTCTTCACGACGACCGGTAGAGAACTTCCGTTTTGCCGTAAGACCAATTTGGTGTAATTGATTATGTTGTTTAACTGTAATACGTTTTTGAAGATCGCCTCTATCGAATAAGCTTGGAACTGGCGAAACCGACGACTGCCGAAACTTGGGTTCAGGGTTTCATCAAAGCTTCCTTACATAGTCCGCAAGGTGTGGTCAATCTAGATTTAACACCTTCTGGCGATATGAAGTTGGAGCACGGGTCCACATACTCAATGGTGCTCTCGCATCCGGCGGATTTGGGAGGGAATATCAAACGGATGGAACTTAACTGGGAGTACGACATGAATGTCCTTGAACCTAGAACCTTGTGCCTGTTTTGGTGCAACGACCATCTCTACGTTAAAAGCGTTTCTGTCGAAGAACTAGAAATGCCCAGTAGAGGGTAAAATCCAAACATTTAATCATAATAACCAAATAGTAACAATCTTTTATTATTACAGGAAAAGGGATGCTCAATTCTCTAGTAAACTATGCTCAAGGAATAAGAGGGATTATGCAGACATCGCCAATAGAGGAAGAGCAATCTTCTTGGATAGCTGCAAGCCTCCACAAAATCAGAGCCTAGAAATAAGTTAGCAAATTACATCTACAATTTGTTAAATTTTATTTCACAAGTGATATATTTTTATTGTTGATTTTGTTTTCTTTATATAATTCTGTATAAATTTTTCTTACTAAACATTGTTATATATAAATTAGTACTACTAACAAACATTTTCTGTAATGTTTATTTATATTCATATAAGTTAGGTCAAGTGTTTGTACAAGTACAATACTCGAGTACAAAATCAGCTTGAAAATTATTTTGCCAATATGTTTAAGATTATTTAATCGTGCATAGTTTTACCCACAAATAAAATATGCTTGTAAGTTTTGTAGCAAATTTTATGGAGATTTTAAACTTAAATTCTCCGCGATGGATTTTTTTTTGTAAATACGAAGTGATATTTAATATGATTTAGAACAGAATGTTTGATGTGTGTTATTCTTTCACGTTTGTTATGATTCTATTAACTAAATTGTACATAATGTAAAGTTTTGTAGGTTTCCACAAATTTTCTTTAGCTTTTGGTTCTTCGATTTCCTAGTTTCCATTTGTATATGTGTATGTGATATGTATATGATTATAGAATTATATATTTTTTTAATTGCAATACAAATAAAGCAATTTTTATTCGATTTTTGCAGTTTTTCTTAATAAGTTAATTTAATAAGTTTAATTACAAATTATTCGTCTTCTTCCAGTTTGAGGAAGTTTTAATTATTAATAAATTTTGTAAATTTATTTAAATTTTGAATTGATATATTTCCATAACCTACTCATAGAAAGAGCTAATCTTTAAATTTAAATTTTCATTTTAACTATAATCTATTTTTAAATCAAATTTCAATATACAAATAAATCAATTTTCAATGATTTTCTATATCATCTGATTGTCTTAGAATTGATTAATTAAGATTAATTAAAAACTTGTTAGAAAATACAATACTTAATTCAACTAATTAAGATTAATTAAAAACTAATTGGAACATTTCGAAATGTTGTTTTGATTAATCATCTTCCACTTTGATATGATCAATAGAATTTGACTAAATACAACATAAATAGTAGTCTTAATCCATGTACAAGTATACTGTACTTGTCTCCTGAGAGCTACTAAAGTTGCCTATAGCTAAGATAAGCATAGCCAGGATTAGCTTGGATGACAGGAAAAAATATAGGTTAGAATCTGCTAAAATTGGATTACATTTTTAAATAGCAGCAAAGATGTTTGCTAAAAACTTATTAACGTCTAATGTGATCCAAAGGCAGGCGAAACGCTTGGCCAGCAAATACAGAGCTGCAATATTGAAAAAGCATGGCGATTCATTGGTTATTGAAGAGGTGAAGCAAAAGTCATTGAAGAACAACCAGGTTCGAATAAATGTTGCTTACTGCAGTGTTAATAGCATAGATGTTAAAACATTTAGGGACACTGCAACGCCAGTCCCATTCGTACCTGGTTATGAATTGACTGGGGAAGTCCTGGAAGTAGGTTCTGATGTCTCACCAGACATTATCTCAGTTGGTGAGAGAGTGGCTGCATTGAACTTAAATAAATTTGGAGGATTAGCACAGGAATGCATTGTAAATCTCAATCTGTTAATTCAAAGAAAATACAGATTGTTAATAAAATAGTTGTAGGTGGATATGGAAGATGTTTGGAGGGTTCCATCTAATTTACCATTGATGGATGCAGCAGTGATTTTATTGGGTCATAGCACAGCTCTTTATACATTCAGTAAACTGTTTCCTTTGGATGCTAAGCAAACTGTTGTTATTAGTGCAGCAACTGGAGGCAATGGTTTGGCTGCTGTTGATGTTGCAGCTCGTGTATATCAAGCTAAAGTAAATGAATTGGTTATTAATTGATTAAAACTTAATAAGTGATTTATGTTACAGGTAATAGCTATCACTGATACAGAAGTTAATTCAGAGGTGACCAGGTCTAAGGGAGCTTTCCAAACCATGCATTTCCATAAAAACCTCAGGAAAGATATAAATAAGTTATTGAAAAATGAAGGAGCTCCTATTATTTATGATGCTGTTGGTGATTACATGCTTGAAGAGATTGCTAAATGGTACAGTTTAATAGATGGTATCAACGCTTTATAAACTTTAAAGTTATGATCTTTTAGCGTTTCTACCAATGGTAAGATTATTTGCGCTTCCACCAGGTTGGGAAATACCATAGCTACACCTCCAGCGCATTGCACTTTGAGCGTTGTTTCTTTAGAAGCTTTGCGCGCCCAGGATTTGGACATGTACAGGCAGATGGTCTCAGATACTCTTGATATGGCTGCAGATGAGTTAATCTCTGGACACATCAGCGAAAGCTGCAGCTTGACTGATGTCAAGAACGCAATCACGCATATTGATAGCAAGAAATGCAGTGGCAAAGTCGTCGTCAAGATAGACTAGTATTGGCTATAATTATATTATCATTATTTATTGTTACCAAATATAAAATAGAACTGTTGATTTATTGTTTTTTTAGATCAGAAATATGTTAAAAGCGACTATAATTATAATTAACATTAACTCAGTCCCTTACGTAAGTAAAAGAAATTAATCATTCCTGCGCTAAATCTATTAAGTGGATAAATTAGATTAATCAATCTTTATTATCAGTGTCTCCGCGGACGAATATACTTTCACCGCGGCAATAAATTTCACAACGTCTTCCAATTAAAACCGGAATTGCTATTTTTTTTCGACAATACGCAGACAAATGCATATTAGTGTGTTTGTTAATGAATTGCGTCATTTATTTATTTATTCTTGTCTTAACATTTACAAAATGTTAAGTTTTATTTGTAATTAATACTGTTGTTTGTCTATTGAAATTGCGTCAATTAATAATATTTTCTTATGGAATTGGTGGAAGACAAAGTGGTATAAAGCTAAACCGTGACATTGATCTTAATCTAACGCCGTTTATAATGGCAATTGCAATGCACGTCATTTTTCAACACTTTTTCGTTTCGGAGTGGACACAATGCGCCTGCATAAATCATTATGAACCATAGGTCACAAGAATGGATACTGGCACTATTAATCATCGATTCTAAACTTTGCAACGATTCGATTATGTAACGAATGAACGATGAATTGAAGCATCTTTCTGAAATTGGAAATGACAATTTTAGGCTAAGGTTAGGGGGTCCGTGAATAATGGTGCCACCAAACAATGTTACTTGGGGCCCTCAATCAGAATTGACCACCCCGCGATTTTAATTTTTTCATTCATGAAAATTTGTTTTTTTTTAGTATACAGTGGAACCTCGCTTAACATATTCAAAAATACACATACTATGTATACACAACTTTTAAAAATGATGTAGCAGGCGCGCAATCCGGAACTTCTCTTCTCATCGTCACTCGTTATGCGAAACGTCGTTCATTAAGCGAGTCATTTTTCTTACAATTCATTTTGCTCGTTAAGCGAAATTCTCGATATGTGAGATGCTCGTTAAGCGAGGTTCCACTGTATTTTATTTTTATTTACTGAGGGCCCCACTGCATATTTAGCTCGGGATCTCAAACGGCACTGATTTCAAGCTATAAGAAAATTAAATGTTAACTTTGAAGTGAAAATTGATTTATTTGTGTTGTTTGGAGACGTGCCTCTATCCTAGAATGCAGAAGCACAACGATGAGATCGCTTTAATTGGAGAAAATTCTGCGCGTAAAGAAAATTTACATGCGAGACCCAAATGTGTTCAATAACTAAGATTTATGGAGAAAGTCGATTTGAGCTTTTAAAACTAAGTGAGTGAACAAATAAATATATATATATAAATGAATGTATGTATGTATGCGCTCAACTCGTATCAAGTTATAAATGCTATGTAAATATTTACACACTACCTGGATTCCGCATAAATCAAGGCTCGTGCGATTTATTCCTTGCATTCTACACATTTACTGTCAGTTTTATTTAAACAGAGTAAGAAGGAACGACAGTTTAAAAATAAAAAAAAAGTTACATATTACATTCATAATTAGCAGCATTTATATGAACAATATTTGTTTATACTTAATAGTATTACTAATTGAATTATTGGAGTATTTTATTATCATAAGATATTTCAATTCGTGACTTTAGTACAGTCACTTCTCGAGTTACGACAAGGTTTCGTTCGTTGGACGCAGAGAGTCGAACCGAAATTAATTTCGTTCCGGTTTACGGATTCGGTTTCGGTTTAAAATCGAAGAAAAGCAATTTAAATTGGTTAGTTAAAATTTTAAATTGATTCCAATATCAAATTTTGATTTAATTTTATTTACGAAATTCCCTTACTATTGTTTCCAATTATGAAATTGAAAATACAAAAGAAATAAAAATTAATTAGTGACAAGTTCAACACATGCACTTTGTAATGTTTCTTCAGTCATGTTTACAGTAATATCCTTTTTAATCACTTTCATTTGAGTCTGTTCTAAAGTTAGTTGCGCGAGACTTGTGCTTGTACTTTATTCTTCAATTTTTGATTGATTGATTGGTGATGATTGAGGCTTTATTTATATTGATGATTAAGCGTTCCCACGCAATTGAATCGTAATTAAAAGTTTGTTCCGGTTCCGTTTTCGGTTTTTCAATTCAGCAATTTTTCGAGCCGGTTACAGTTCCGGTTCAGTTAAAAATTTCGGTTAATTTCAGTTTTCGGTTCCGGTTCGACTCTGGTTGGACGTAAGTCGAAATCGTCAATCGTATCTTGAATTTCATTCAAACAAATCAAATTATAATAGACAAATGTACTTATAATACTATAATAATATTTGACAAAAACTGTCAAAATTGATACAAGTTTTTTGTTTCGTCGCAAGTGCAAATGTTCGTACGTCGAAAAACTACTATATCTAGAAGTTTGTAACAGATTACGTTTTTAATGTATCAATGAGAAATGTTAAAACGGAACAATAAAAAATTAACAAATTCTTCAAATAAATTTATAATTTTTCATAAATTTATATCAAATCGTGAGAAATGTAAAAGTTTAAATTAAGATTATAATAATATTTAAAAAATACAGAATATTTTTATTTTGATGGGTCATTGGTTAATAGTTCAGACTGCGTACAATTCGGACAAAGAACACTTCCGAAAGATATTTATTTGTTCGGTTAACGAACAATTCGGATAGCGAAAATTGTCTTTGAACGGACTGTGTTCGTTAACTATTTACCATTGACAATAGAAGGAATATTTTTTAAATTTAATTTTTTATATTTGTTTCATTTATTATAATCTGTTTTAAAATTATTCCATAATTGAGTTATTGTATTTAGTTGTAAAACTGATACAACCTTAACATTGAGTAATACAGATTATGTGACTGTATGTTTGATTTGAAAGGATCTGATATCAAAAAATTCGATCGACTTTGAAAGTAATTTAGTTAAATAAATTTAAAAAAAAACATATAGGACATTCTCATTTTTTTATTTGGCACACATCGAATATTTTCCCAGGAACGCTTTTTTTTATATTGGTCAACATTCGATTTGGCAATAATCGATCAAGCATAATAATTATCATAATAGAAAGGTCCTTGCCGAGATTGCGCAAAGTTCGACCATAATCAGAATAAAGTTCCATTCGCGAACGATATTAAAAGAGTCAAACAGACTGGGCGGCATTTCTTAATCGCAGGAAGAGAATCGTGACCGTTTGATTAGTTCCAGCTCCTCCTCATCCGCATTGTTCTCAGTTGGAATGTTCTCTTGTACAGAGTTTCTCAACCTATGAATTACGAAATGACAGCTGTCACCATATGTCAAAACGAGGTACTGGTGAAATACTTTTAGTTTTCATCGTAATTTACAGTTTTAATTTATGTTATAAACAATATACAAAACATATTTATGTTAAAGCTCCGTTTGTGAACGATTTAAAATAGTCAAATAGACTTGATTGCAGGAACATATCTTAACCATTTTATTAGTTTCAAGTCTTCCTCATCCGCCTTCATTGTTGTCTCTCGGAATTCGTTTTGATCAGCGTTTCTCAAACCTATGGGTCGAGTTAAATTTTGAATTGGTCGCGAAATGACAGCTGTCATCATACGTCAAAGCGAGTAACTAGTGAAATACTGTTGGCTTTCATCAGAATTTTCTAGTTTTAATTAACGTTATAAACAATATACAAACAAATATGTTAAAGTTCCATTCGCGAACGATTTTAAATAATCAAAAAGTCTCGTCGGCATTTCTTATTCGAAGAAACAAATCTTGACTATTTGATTAGTACCAAATCCTCCTCAATGGATAGTAAAGTGACAGCTGTCACCATACGTCAAATCAAGGAACTGATGAAATGCTCCTAGCTTTTATCGTTATTTCACAATTTTAATGTTTGTTATAATAATGTTTGTTATAAACAATATACAAGTAGTATATATGTTAAAGTTCTATTTGCAAATGATTTTAAATATTGAAACAGACTGGTCGGCATTTCTTATTCGCAGAAACAAATCTTGATCGTTTGATTAGTACCAAATCTTCCTCAATGGGTAGTAAAGTGACAGCTGTCATCATACGTCAAAGCGAGGAGCTGGTGAAATACTTTTAGCTTTCATCGCAATTTCCCAGTTTTAATGTTTGTTATAAACAATATACAAATAATAAATATTTTAAAGTTCTTTAAATTCTTAAACAGACTCGGCTTCATTTCTTAATCGCAGGAACAAATCTTGACCGTTTTATTAGTTCCAAGTCCTCTTCAATGGGTAGAAGTGACAGCTGTCACCATACGTCAAAGCGAGGAACTGGTGAAACACTCCTAGCTTTCATCATAATTTCACAATTTTAATGTTTGTTATAAACAATATAGAAATAATAAATATGTTAAAGTTCTTTTAATACTTAAACAGACTCGGCTTCGTTTCTTAATCGCAGGAACAAATCTTGACCGTTTTATTAGTTCCAAGTCTTCTTCAATGGGTAGTGAAGTGACAGCTGTCATCATACGTCAAAGCTAAGAAATGGATAAATACTGTGTGTTGGGTCACGACAAAAAGGTTAAGAAACGCTGGTACAGAAGATAAGCAAATGGTTCCATCATTTATTTCTTAATACGTATGAATACAATTTTAGGTTTCACTTTAAATGTCGAAGCTCTTATTGAATAGATTCGTTCCGAAGCAATACGATTGTATTTAATCCACAGTATTTAGAATACAATCGAATAGGGTGGGAACTTATTACTCTTTTCTTTTCTCTGTCTCTATATCTAATTACGATTAGATTGTGTCTCTGGAAGGCGCAGACAACGTGCCATTTCTCAAGTCGCATGCAATAACAGCCGCACATGTTCAACGTGTCTTTTTCTTCTATTCAAACTACTTTATTTCTTTTCATTTTTTGTTGTTGTAATCTTTGTCATTACCTCGAGTTTCCCCCCAATTTATCTGCGTGAGTGTGTCTCTTGACCAGATCAGACCAGACAAGAGTGTGTTTTGCATGTGCGTGTGTCTG